TGTGTGTTTTGAAAGTTTTTTTTTGCTTTATGGTAACTCTTGTATCAGTCCTCAAGAGTGTGATAAAGCGTTTTGAAAGTAGTTTTTGAAAGTGTGTAAGTGTAAATAATTTCAAGTTTGAGCAAGTACTTAAGAGTTTATCTACCTACTCGAAAAAGGACGTTCTTTTCCTTCTTTCTTTTAGATAACGCTATCCTACTATTAGTGAGTAGGTAGCCATATCGTTGGATGTTGAGGGACTATCGAAAGGGACGCTGTGGTTATTGAAGGCAACATGTAAGTATATCTTAGCATTCGAAGGGACTGTCATCATATAGGCAACATCGAGGGACAAGATCATTTCTCGTAGGCAACTCGAGGGACGTTTAGGGACCATGATCTTTTATGATGACTTTTATACCGAGGGTCTTTGCTAAGACACCCCTACGTTCGAGGGACATAACCATTATTTTCCGAGGCAACCAAGTGAGGTATACCCTAAGGGTGCAAGTGTGAAACAATGTGTTTTTTCAGTTATGTTTATCTTGTGATTATTGATCTACTGATTAATTGTTTCTTGTCATGCACACCTAATTTACTAGCAATTATATACAAGCCTAATTACTAATAGTTAATATCCTACAAAAATTTAAAGTGCGGGAATTATAAATCCTACGCTATTATATCCCATGAGCAGTTACAATGTTTAGAAGAAAAAAATGCGAAAAGATAAACTAACTATTACAAAATCAAATGTGTGACATATACATTCTTTCTAGAATTTAAATAACAAAAGAAAAATAGAAAAAAAAGAAGAGATTGTTTAGAAAGAAAATCAAATGTCCTAAAAAGGCTAAGTATTAAGAAAAATATTTTTGGTATTTTTGTGATTTGATTTTAATATTTAAGACCTAAGTCTAAATTAATTACAAATTAACTATGAAATAAATACTAAAACATGGTTAAGTTAAATTAAATTTATTTATGAAAATTAAATTAATTAAAAGAAACAAACTAAATCTATTTTTTTGTGATTTTATGATTTTATGATTTTTTTGATAAAAAAGAATTAATTGAAATGAAAAGAAAATAAATAATTAAAGCAAAAAAAACAAAAGAATGGGCGATGTTGTAAAGTAAATGGGGTGATGCACTAAGCAAAATCCCAGGCCCATTAGCAAGAGAGCCCAGGCGCTGGAGAAAAGTCTTCAGAATCATGTGTATCTCTCCCATGAGGCCTATCGTGGGTTTGGATTAAAAGTCCTTGTATTACAGAATCCAAAACTCAAAAAGCTTATAGCCCTAACCATGACATCTTGCCTATAGGGTGTTCATATGCACATGCGATCGTGCTAACCTGTTCTAAATGGTCTCACAAACACATATCAATGCATAAAAATAATTTATATGACATGAATAGACAACTTGAGATTCAAGAAAATTTTACCAAAACCGGTACAATTGGATGTGAGAGTTGTAGATGTGAAAGGGCTTGGTTATGAGACTAGTTCAACTCTTGAGAGCCTCGGGGAGATGAATGGATCCATTGTTTTGCTTGAGATCACTTGGAAGCTTGGTTAAGAATTTTGCAACTTTGAGAAATTTTTGAGAATTTTTTAGAGCTTTGTTATGCAATGATTTTTCTGGTCATTCTTCTTCCTTTGTTTGCCTTTATATAGAGAATAAAATAGGAGCCAACAAGTATGGAAAAGGACAAGGTAATCATGCCCATAAAAATAATATTCCAACATATTGAAAACTTGCCTTCTTTGCATGATTCTTGTCTTTTGGATGCCTTGCACGAATCTGGACATGTTGCTGGCTTGTATTTGGGCTGACAAATAAGGAATAGAATCAAGGTAATCATACCATGGTTTAAACAAGAAAACAACTTTAAAACTTACCAAATTTGCAAAGTTTCTTCCTTTCTTGAGTCCCCACGAAATTGAAAAAGTTGTAATGAGTTGTCATTAGTTGTCTTGGGCCTTTAGATGATTGAAACAAAAAGCCCAAGCCTTTATACCATTGTTTCATATTTTATTTGATTTTATTTGCATTTAAATGAATAAAAATTCAAATAAAAGAAATAAAAATCATAAAAATATGTGAATGGATTTATAGGTCCTGTAACACCTTATGAACATGTTTGAACATCAAAAGTTAGGCCCACTAGTTCAAAACTTCAAGTTCGCTCACTTTGCACTTCACGCATTTCTTGAAAATTTCCCAACTTGTGCACCTCATAACTTGCTCAATTTTCATCTTTTAAATGTGATCTTGATCTTTTTGGAAATCTCAAGATGTCCTTAACACTTTCTATTTTAATCATTTTTTCATTTGGAGATATTATCTTGATGTAAGTTGCCTTGACAAAATGTTTCTTATGTTGACTTTCTGAAAATGACATGTAATGTATGAGCTTGTATCTTTCAAATGGTGCATCTATTGAACTTGAGGATAAAAGAGAAGTTATAGGGAATGATATTTTCTTAAAAAATGAGCTTTTTTTGGGGTAAAATTGATGAAGTATGTTAAAGTTTTGCCTGGTCAAAGTTCAGTAGACTTTTCCTATAGAAACCCTAATTTAGCAACTCTTGACTTTTGATAGATTAGGAGAATTTCTTGAGGAATCATGATCAACCCTTGATAAAATTATGGATATCACTTTAAAATGTTGATGTTGACCAAAAATCTTGAAGTTTGACTGTATATGGGCCACAGTTGACTTTTGCCCTAGCACAGTTGATTTTCCAATACTTGAGCAATTGATTGAGAAAACTTATTGTGAAAGGCATGAAATTTGGCATGGATGATCTTGAAGACATATTAGGACCTTGGAAAGCATTTGAGACCTTTGGAGCTCAACCATATTGATGAAAATTGGAACCCTAGTTGGGGGGTTCATTGCCCTAGGAGGATGTTGTACCCCAATTTTTGCCCCTAAGATCCCTCGTTATACTTCGTACATTTCACACGTAGCATTGGTCTCATGGTTATAAGATTAAAGAGCTTTGGCATTAGGGTTTCTCTCTCTGAATGGATGTGGGTCGCTTCAAATAAAAAGCGACTGGAATCTGTGGATTTAATTGAGATTGATGATTCCTTTATCATCAAATTACAGGGATACTTCTCTTCAGGGAAGTTAGCAAACTGATTGTCGCCTATGGATCTAGAATTTTGACTCTTCCAAATGCTGCAGATGTATATACATACAAGTACAAAGGAATATGGATATGTTTAACAATACTACCACGAGCCCTTTTAGGAAACTATGTCAACTTTGGTGTGTTTGAGTTATACGGTGACATAGCTCTATCTGATGCACTTGATGCTGCTCTAAAGTTGACACTGTCAATTCCAATGTCCTATATATTGGCTTATCGAAAGCTAACAAAGGCTTATTTTACATTCTTGGAGGTTCTGTTCTACAACCACCTCTCTTTCATCTTGAGCTTGGACACAAACACCTTTGTGGATTTAGTTGGCTCCCTCGAATCTGGTCTAAAAGGCTTGGATACAAGTATATCATCACTATGAACACTGTCTTGTCATTACTGGAGCTTGATTACCCTTCTAACAAGCTAGCTTGCTATGTTTCTGTTGATGCTTGTTCACCTCTTACCTTTTATGCCTTTCAAGAAGCTACAAAATTTGCTGAAATTTGGGTACCTCTTTGTAAGAAGTACAATGTACAATGTATAGCACCTTTTCAATACTTCTGTGACAAAGCCATAGATAACAAAGATTTGCCAAAATTCAAACAAATTTGGTTGAAAATGAAGGAAGAGTATGAACAACTTAGCAGTAAAATTAAAAGTGCAGCTGAAAAGTCGATTCCGTGTCAGCTTATGGGAGAATTTGCTGTATTTTCACAAACACAAGTTAAAAATCATCAAACTATAATCAAGGAAATTCAAAGAAACAAAGGTCTTCCTGATACGATGCCTCGCATAATCTACATTTCTAGAGAGAAGAGTTCAGAACACCCGCATCATCATAAAGCTGGTGCAATGAATGTCTTGACAAGAATCTATGGATTGATGAAAAATGCGTCGTTTATCCTAAACTTAGATTGTGACATGTATGTGAATAATCTTAAGATTGTACTACATGCACTTTGCATTTTGTTGGATGCGAGAGGAGAAAAAGAAGTCGCATTTTCTCAATGTCTGCAACGATTCTACGATGCTGTGAAAGATGATGCTTATGGAAATCATCTTGTGGCTTTGCCTATGTACATAGGAGGTGGATTTGCTGGACGTCAAGGAATTATATATGCAGGAACAAATTGTTTCCATAGAAGAAAAGTTATTTATGGTCTTTCTCCTAATCTTGACATTCAAAATGCAAACAAGGACCATGGCTTCGCCAAAGGAACGTTGTTATCAGAAAAAGAAACAGTGCAAATATTTGGAACCTCAAAGGGATTTGTTGATTCAGCTACTTTTTTTTTAAAAGGGACCCTGCAAAAATACTTAAGAAAAAAGTTCATAAAAAAAACCAATCCATTACTGTCATAACAGGAAAACTGATTTCTAACAGTTTCTAATCAAAAAACTAACTCTAACAAAATTCTAACCGACTTTCTAACCTTCTAACCACCTGTAACTAACTTCCAATCAACATTCAAAAACAGAAAATGATTTTGCAAGAGGATTTTAGCAAGTTTCCTAACTGTATCTAACAAAATACCAAAACTAATTGAATATAACAAAGTCAGCAATCCCCAACCAAAACTAACTCCCTAACTGATTTAATCTTGACCCTTGAATCTTCTAACAAACTGGCAATCATCAATGGCTCTGAACCTCTCTTCTCTAACCTCTTTCACTACATTCATCAACCTATATAAGCAAAACTCACTTTCATTTAGGGGGTTGGCCAGGATTTCATGAATTCATTCTTCACCCTCTTCATAAGATCTCTCTGCAACCTCTCTTCTCGGAACCATTTTCCTCCATTTTTGTTCACTCATCTTCTACTTCAATATGGATCACCCCCAAGAACCACGGGTAATCCTCTCACCTCTTTCCTCGAGGGACAACTGAAGAATTCGAGATTCCTATCTCTCTGATTTTCTCAATCGAGAACCTTGCTGCAACTTTGTCATACATCATCCTCACCGCATCGACTTTGTCATTCTTCATCTGCAATCATAGCTATCAATCTCAGAGAAACGCAACAGAAGCACATACCGTGAAGTAAGAAAGTAGAAGAAAAGTGGATTAGATAAAGCAGTGCAAGCGAAACTTACCGCTAGATTTCTGATAATATTCTCTGATCTGAAGAAGCACCGGACTATCTCCGGTAGGTAAGAAATTCTACTTCTTTCATCTTTTTCCTTCACTGAATGATTCATATAAGTTTGAATGTGTTAAAATCAATCGAAATCGCGAGTAAGATAAGAATAGAGTGATATTTGATGAGTAAAAAAAACTAGTCGGTGAATCTGAGAAGTGAAATGAGTGAATCGAACGAAATCGTGAGACAGAAAAGGTGAGCGGATCCTGAAACTGTAAAGCCACGATTGGAAAAAAACCCAGAGAAAAACACACGAGAGAACTCACCAAAAAAAGCTCTTTGCAGTTTCCCTGCAACTGCATCGGCATCATCTTGCTCTAACAATCTTCAATCTTTATCTCTGTTTCACAACAACTTTGTCAACGACCGCAACTTCGTCAAACACTTTAAATTGTAGCACAAATCAACAACACACGGAATATACAAAGATCCGAAATTGGAGAGATATGAAGAAGGAGAAGACGAGTGTAGAACGAAGTAGAATCAATAACTGCAGAGTCAGAAGCAAGAGGATCATTACGTTAAGGAATAGCAGCTTGGATCGGGGTTTCAGGTTCACATTCAGTCAGATGTATGAAGGTTGAGGAGAAAACATAGAAAATTGAGACTGGATTTGAGACGAGGGGAGTGAGACAAAGTGAGTAGTGTTACCAATTTGCGCTTCTAGGTTGTGGCCGTAGCAGCCGCCGCCGTAAGGCATGCCGGTCCGGTGGCGTATCATTTTGAACGAAGGAGGTAGGGTTTGAGTTGAACGTGGAAGCTAAAGAGTCTTGGTGGATTATTAACACACCCGTTTTGATTTTTTCCCTCTTCTTATAACTTATTATTTTTATGATAATCATAAAAAAAACAAAATTTGAATGAAAGGATCTTTGGATTACACACGATGGGCTTTCTACCAGCATGTCCATGAAGCCTGTGCATTTTGTTGAAGCCAAATATCTTGTGAACACAAGAAGGAAAAAACCACTATTTTGAACCTATTGGGCTTGGGCTCTGCGCCCAATTTACTATAGTACACTTCTGGATCTTAGCTTGCACCCCCTAGTTTATTTCATTTACAACTTCTTTTGAATAATCTTGTTAATTGTTTAGATTTGTTCGAATTTTCTCCACATGATAAAAAATGATAAAATCAATAAAATTTGTTAGATTTTTTATTATTAAAGTTTAGGAATTAAATCATGATTATCTGATTACTCGAGATTTGTGATTCACCCTTGTTTGTTGAGTTGAGTCTTATGCAGGTTTATTGTGAGATATGTGGATGCGCTTGAGTTTTTGATTGTGATTTATTTTCAAATCAATGATGTTTTGACACTTACTTTGAGGATTTGAACTCTGACTGTTTGTTTGTTGATGCCTGCTCGCACAAAGTATCTCATATTCCTTTATTTTGGTTGCATTTTTTTACGGACATCATTGTTCGTTTGGTATTACACTGCTTCCAAATTATGTTTCCACATTTATTGCTTTCTAGGTAGCACGAGAAGTAGGAAATAAAGTGTGTGCGCTCGAAGTCGTTGTTTAAAGACCTGTAGCAGGCATTCCACACTTCATTTCTGTTATGTGTTGTGCTTGTGTTTTCTTCCTTTCTTGTCGATCGATGAGTCACTCAATTTAGAAATTGAGATCACGACTTCGCTCTCAGTGCATGCTCCCTATAAGATTTTATCGTTTTCCTTTATTTCTTGTTGATCGATGAGTCACTCAATTTAGAAATTGAGATCATGACTTCGCTCTCAGTGCACGTTCCCTATAGGATAGTTTTATTAGATTTTCTTTGGCATGCTAACCTAGACAGGATCATTCTAGGTATGCTCTCTCGAGTTACTGGCTAGTTTGCTTTATCCTTGTACATACCATGTTCCCTTAGGATGTGCTTGCTCCGCTCGGATGCAAGTTAGACCTTAGGTTCTAAACCATGTTTTCTAACATTAGGTAGACGTTTACCTTTTGTTAATCCAAACCTTAGGACCACCATTGTAAGATAACACTAGATTAGAAATAGGCTAGTCTCTCTTAGACTCTTTTCTCCCCCTTTTTGCATCATTGCATTTAAAACTAAAACTTCTTTTTTCTTGGAAAATGTACAAAGAATGCTAAGCATACAAAAATACTTTTCATAATAAAAAATACCCACCAATCATTTCTTTTCGCCATTCGGCTTTTCTCTTCCAAGAGCATGTTAGCTCCTTTCCACTACAGGCCGTAAGTCTCCAAAGGTCGAGCAGCGGTGGAATGATCGAATGCAACATTGTTCATTTAAAAAATACAAACAAACAAAATATATGAGCCGAACTACGGTAGCTCTGATTCCTCAAAAAGGATATGTAGGTATTGGGGTAGGGCCCAAGCGAGTACAACTTTATTTTCCCTACATTCTTTCTCCTTTCTTTGCATGCATTCCCTCTTAGTTTATAATCCCTAAGCATTATATTGAACACACCCTTTGATTAGAATAACGAGAGTGGATCCCGTAGAGTACTATTGACATGTGGGGTGCTAATACCTTCCCCTTGCGTAATCGACTCCCTTACCCAATCTCTCGGTCGCAAGACCTTGATTTCCCCTTTAGATTTTTCTTCGATGATTTTCCTTTCCCTTTCATATGGGATGAATAAACACTCGGTGGACACTTCATTGATTATACCGCTATAGAGGAGAATTTGTCTGGTCAATTCTTGGTCAACCTTGAGCAATTGAGAACCTATAGGAGTATGTCTTGTGTGAAAATTGGAGGAAAATTTTTGGGGTACAACAACAGCAAAAATATAAGAAACCTGTCTTGAAATACTTGCTTATGTAATGATATGCATGATATGCTTATGCAATGTTTTCAAGGACTTTTAATATTTAAATTTGCTTAGACAAAGAGAGAACAAACATTAATAGCATTCATAAGTTTAAATGGTTACAAAAATGCCTCTTGGGATTACAATGGAAGAAACAAAGATAAAACAAAACTCCTAAATCAAACAGGACTCAGGCTTCGCATGAGCGTATCCTCTTTGGTGCAATGTAGGCATTCAAACTATGTTCTTCATGAAGTTGTCTTGTAAGCTCCAAAACCTTCTTCTCGCTTGTGTAGAACTGGGTTTCAAAGGTGTCTCGTTCCTCTTTAAGTTGAATCCAAGATCTTTGCAACTCCTCGAGAGTAGTCGGCGTGTTAGGATGGAGAATAGTATGAGGTACATCTCTCTCGGAAAAAGGCTCCATGATGATAGGTAGGATGGCGGGGTAAGGCATCATGAGATTTTGAGCGCATGCTCGCACCCACTTAAGATAAGGCTCCAAAGGGATGGAGTTTTTATGCCCCAATGTCTTGCTATCCACTTTGTTTACCATGCCCCAAGCTCGAATGAACCTCTGACGATACCCTTGGACATCGCTCTCATAGTCGAATGAAATTCCTTGAACCAGTTCATTATGAGGACCATCCCTCCTAGCATACCCAAACTATCACAATGCTAAACAAGGGTTATAAGTGATTCCTCCCCTAATGCCTAGGAGAGGGATATTAGGGAATTCCCCATAGCGATCAATGATGGTAACATCTTCCAAAGATCGAGGGCACCAGTGTATATCCGAATGCGTGAGGTACATCAACCTATTAGACCACCTCATGCCTTACTAATTTTTCAAAATAGATCGAGGTAGGTGCAAAATAAACCACCTAGCCAACAGAGGAGTGCAACACATAAGGGTCCCTCTTCTCTTTATTGTGCGAGTGCGAAAATAGTGAAAAATGTCTCCAAGTAAAGTAGGCACCGGGTTACGAGACATAAAAACTTTGACCGCATTCACATCTATGAGTTGGTCCAGATTAGGGAATAATACCATCCCATAAATGAGAAGGGCCAACACCTCTTCAAAGTCTTGTAAATCAAAGTATCACAAAAATAGTGAGCTTTCTCAAAAAAAAACTTGGCTAGAAACCCTTTGACACCGTTTCTTTTTTCCCAATTTGCCACAATGTCGGACCATTGTAAATACAGAGCTTGAGTAATCTCCTCAGGTTTTGGGTCTCTTTCCATACCGTTTAAGGGTAATTGATTTAGAATAGGCACTCCCAATAACTGAGAAAACTCTTCCATGGTAGGTACTAACTGGTAATCGGGAAACATAAAGCAATGCTGTAAAGGGTCAAAGAACAAAAAGAGAACTTTCACCATGTCTTCATCAGGGCTTGAGGTCACCAAATTGAGGAGTCGACCATGTATTTTGGTGAGTGGAGAATTCTCGGGAACCCTTGATGCCAACTCTTTGAGTTAAGGAGGCACTCTTACGATGTTGACTTGGATAGTATTTCTGCGATTGGGAGCGATGTCCTACAAAACAGACACAAAGATAAGTCCTAAAAATCCTTGAAATGGTTAGTGTGATATGCCATTTTATGATGTTATGATGTTATGTACAAACAAATATATACAAGCACATAAACAAGTTCTTAGGTTTAGGCTTGCATGGATTCCATAGGTAAGTACCCTCTTGAAGTTTAGTTGGTTCAACCTGTCCTAGAAAGTAACTAGGTTCTAAGGAATCTCAATATCACTGATCTTTCTTCATTGGGAATTATTTCAGTGCAAGCCTCTTTATTGGCGACCGAAATATCTCAAAATTCCAATCTTAATGAGCGTAGTATCGAGTATCAACCAACTTCGAACTGCACCAAAGCCGTATATCTCACTACTTCCTAATGGCCAAGTTGTTCAATTAAAGGTTCTAAGGTCAGTTGGTGCTTCATGACACCATGCAGCTGCCCCGTATTCTCTTTGACTACTCAAGGACTACTGGTACCAACAAATGTGTCACACCAACATAGCTATCATTTCAACGGTGTCAGTATACCCCGCACAGTCCCCACGATCTATTTCTACTTACCTAAAAGGTGCCCCAGATATGGGTGTAAGATCTTTTAGTAACAAACCAAACAAGACCTCAAAAGATAAAGCATGCAAACACACAATGTAAAGCAATTTAAAATGAACTAAGCTCTAAGATAACCCCACTTTTTATATTTCCCCAGCAGAGTCGCCAATTCTGTGATACGGTGGCAGAACTGACGGTTATACTGGTGTTGCATTTGTATTCGCAAATATTGCGGTAAGCAAGAGTCGCCACCGGCTTTTCTTTTATCCAACAAAGGAAAGGGTGAAAAGAACATAAAAACACCTTTCGAGATTTGTTTCTGAGTAAGGGGGTAGATTATGAAAAGGGAAGGTGTTATCACGCTTTCCATCTGTAGTATTCTACGGGCTCTTAGATGCTTAGCTCATTTTGTAATACTTTGTGTTTTATGTGTTTTTGA